AAATGGGTTTTGAACATAATAAAACACGGTTACTCGCTCCAATTCGCTCGCAGACCGCCCCGCTTCACAGCAGTGGTAGAGACGAAAGTGAGAAAAGATGTTTCACATGTTCTACGCACCGAGATGCTCAAACTGATAGAGAAAGGCGCTATAGAAACAGTTCCCCCCTCTATGAGCGAGGCAGGTTTTTACAGCCGCTATTTTCTCGTCCCGAAAAAGGATGGCGGTCTCCGCCCCATTCTAGATCTCAGACATCTGAACAAAGCTTTAATGATTCGCTCATTCAGAATGATAACAACCAAGCATATCCTCGCGCAAGTTCGCCCGGGGGATTGGTTTCTGTCAGTGGATCTGAAAGATGCTTACTTTCACATTCCAATAGCGCCTCATCACAGGCCATTTCTGAGATTCGCTTTCGAGGGACAGTCATACCAGTACACAGTACTACCATTCGGCCTGTCACTGGCACCCCGTACATTTACGAAATGTATGGATGCAGCACTTTCCCCCCTGAGACAGCGGGGAGTGCGAATACTAAATTATCTCGACGATTGGCTAATACTAGCACAATCAGAGAGCCAGTTAGTGACACACAGGTCTTGGATTATCAGTCATCTAGAGTGCCTAGGTCTAAAAATCAATTTTGCAAAGAGCATGCTATCCCCCAGCCAGAATATTTCTTTTCTGGGAATAGTGCTAGACTCAGTGCAGATGACAGCGCGCCTCTCATCAGAGCGCGCGCTCACTATCCGGCGCCTTGCAACATCGTTCAGAGCGCGCGCGCGCGCCCCCGTCAAGCGATTTCAGAGGATGCTCGGTCTCATGGCCTCAGCATCAGCTGTACTCCAGCTAGGATTGTTGCACATGCGTCTTCTCCAACGCTGGCTCAAAAGCCGTGTCCCCACTCACGCGTGGCGCTCGGGCCACTTTTTAATCAGAGCAAATCACGGCTGCATAAAAGCCCTGACGCCCTGGAAAGCTGTCGACTGGTATCAGTCCGGCGTGAGTTTGGGCGTGAACACAAGGAGAAAAATGATCACGACAGATGCCTCCAAAATAGGTTGGGGGGCCCTTTACGAGGGCAGGCCTGTCTCCGGTTTGTGGTCAAACCCGGAGAAGCGCCTACATATAAACTGTCTGGAATTGAAAGCGGTCGCTTTGGCTCTCAGAGCCCTGCTCCCAAACCTGAAGGACGAGCACGTCCTAGTCCGAACGGACAACATGACGGTAGTCTCGCATATAAATCGTCAGGGTGGACTCAGATCGAGCTCCCTGCACTCAATGGCCAGGGAGCTCCTCCTATGGTCCCAGCGCAACCTGCGCTCGCTGAGAGCAGCGCATGTGCCAGGTGTTCTGAACCAGGGAGCGGACATGCTGTCCAGAGACAAAGTTCTCCCAGGAGAATGGTCTCTCCACCCCCTGACGATTCAGTGGTTATGGCAAACCTTTGGCAGAGCAGAGGTCGACCTCTTTGCCTCCAAGGAAAATGCGCACTGCCTTCTCTTCTTTTCAAAGAGCACAGACGCGCTCGCCCAAGTCTGGCCGAGCCGCCCGCTGTATGCCTTCCCTCCGGTCGCGATGCTACCTCAGGTCATCAGTCGGATCAGGGAGGAGAAATGTGCAGTGCTCCTGGTAGCCCCACTCTGGAAGAACCAGACGTGGTTTCCAGAACTGATGCAGATGATATGCAAATATTAAGAAGTGAGAACTATTTACAGTTAATAAGTTGTTAACAGAGCATAAAAAACATTATTTAACTGTTTGCATATGAGCTAATTAAACAATATGGTTAATTACAGTGACAATGAGTTAACTCACTATTTGTATATAGCCTATTAATATATTAACAATGTAGGGACTACAATACTGTATTGTTCCGAATATAAGACGACCCTGAATATAAGACAACCCCCCTTTTTCAAAATGTACCTTTTGGAAAAAGGCTTTTTGATAAAGAAAATGCTTTTATTTGAAAATATTTTTCATACTGTTAAAAGTTATATTTTTTATATTTTAATTTTTGTATTGAAAGCATGGAACATACTGGTAAAATGTACCAACAATTTAAAAAATAAATAAACACTTTTTGGCATACCATAAAAATAACCTGTAGCCCATCATTTAACAATTAGGCTATCCATCTCACAGTGAAAACCATGTAGCCTACCGAAATTGTATTAATTAAATCATTAAATCATAATTAAAAAATTAAATGTATTAATTATTAAAGCTGCAGTCGGCAAGTCTGGCAGATTGAGTGGACTTAGGCAAAATTTTGAATGTTTACAACTCTCATGCCCCTCCCCCACTATCAACGGATACCCTCCCACCGAGTTCGTGCTCGTCAGTGCGTGTGCACCAGGTTATCTGTGAACGCGCCCGTCTCATCAGCATCCATCAACACCATGGAGTATTTGGAGGTATGCTGCCCTGGCTAATCTACCGATAGATTGCAATTGCTAACGTCATTTATACTCTAAACGAGCTTACTTGATTTGTTAGTGTTTTGAAAGCGAGATACATCCGCCATCACTCTTCGTTACTGCGCGAACTTCAGGCGTGTGCATGTGATTGTAACGTGCGCGAGGGGTGGCGTGTGCCCGATCTGTGATTGACAGTCAGATCTCACACCCCCCTGCGCTGATTGGACCCGATGATCCGGGAGCTGTGGATTTTTGCAAAACAAATAACACGCTCCAGTTGGAGTTAGAAACTCGGGTTTTTTTCTAAAATTATAGTGTCGATTTCACTGAATATGATAAAAAAAATGTTGCCGACGGCAGCTTTAACAGTGGAGGTGGATCTTATTGTAGTTTTGAAATATGGGTTCCGTCTTATGTTTTAAAATCAAGTACGGGTGAAGTTTGATCCCGTCAGCGAGGATCAGGCATGACACTCACACGGCTCTTAGACGTTATTTACGTAAAGTCTAGACCCCGAATATAAGACGAAAAAACATTCTCATATTCGGAACAATTTTTTTGTGATTGAACCTGCACACCATAGTTTATTTATATAGACTGTTGGTCTAGAGTGAATAGTGTCATGTACGTTTGTTGTGGTATAGCTTTACACAGACAAAGATTATAGTGACCACGGTTGTTGTCCTGGAGTTTTGGTTGTGTGGTTTATATTTGCTCTTGATCTTATTCTAACTGTAGCTGACTTGACTGGGTCTGTGCTATCATCAACAGAATGCTGATCAGCAGCAACTTGTCATCATATGCGCCTCCCATCCTTTCTTATGGTCATGACGGAGTGATTTCATATTTTACTTTTTCTAACTCTAAGTTCATCCTCCCCCCACTCGCCTTTGGTTCACATTGCAGGTTTATGGACATTCGATTTTTTTATTTTTCCTTTCATGGACCATCAATCTCAATCTCTCTCTCTCTCTCTCTCTCTCTCTCTCTCTCTCTCTCTCTCTCTCTCTCTCTCTCTCTCTCTCTCTCTCTCTCTCTCTCTCTCTCTCTCTCTCTCTCTCTCTCTCTCTCTCTCTCTCTCTCTCTCTCTCTCTCTCTCTCTCTCTCTCTCTCATTCTCTCACCACTGTGAAGAGTATGAAGATGAATCTAAGATAAGCTCTTTTCAAACAGGTTTCAGTTAAAAAATCGTTTTTCAAATGAAAAATCCCTGGTCACTTTATCCGTGTATTTTCCGGAATCTCTGTGTGAAAGGGGCTATATTCATATTATCATAGAAGTACTTATTTTTCGGATATAAACACTGATATCTACGGTAGCTATCAAAATAGAGCAAATCAGCTTTTGAAAGTAACTTTGCACTTCAAATAACGATTGTATCGATTACATTGTTACGCCACCTGGTGGTGACAAGGGATTCGTTCAAAAACGCTGATTCATCCAGTATTGAAACTAGTGAAGTATTAATAAGTTAATAATACTAATGATTAATGATTTATGAGTTTAAGGCGACCGTTATTTTAGAACGTATTATTTCCTTATTTCCTTGGTGACGCGTCATGCAGCCACACTATGACAGATATGTATCGCGTTTATTTCGATTTTTTTTTTTTTTTTTTTACTATATCATGAATTATAGTATATATTCTGATTGTCAAAAACATATAAGTGAATATGTTTTATAATTTAACTGTAATAACTTTATAATTATAATGTTAGTTGATATAGCGCGCAATGAGTTTGCACCGCAATTCAGAGGTTCTGTTGGATTTACATCACGTAAATTCATCCATTTTTCCCGAAATACACAAAAGTAAGTGGCTGGTGAACTTGGAGAAAAATAGAGTAAACTTTATTGATTCATACACAATGTGTATCTGATATGAATAAAACACTTTGTCAAATTATATTTGAAAGGATTATTATTGCTGATTCCATAGACATCAACCTTCAGCCATTTCACCCTGTAGCCCAAGACTGGTTTGAAAATTGAAACTGATGGGGCACAAATCAGATCTGATGGGGCAATGCCCCCGTTTGCCGCCTCGTGGTGCCGGCCCTGGGAGAATTAGTTTGGAATTATTGTACTTATATCAAGTTATCACCCCATTAGTTATTCTAAATTCTAACTTCCCTTCATTCTACCTTTAGTGCCACTCCCGCCCTGCCCCCAGCCCACCTCGCTCTTAGAGTGACATCGGCCTACATGCATAATACCCTGATGATGTACATCCAAAAATGTCATCAAAATTAATTAATAAGAGACTTGTGCTTTCCGCATTTCCCGTGTGAAACTGTCTTTATGTCGAAGTGGTACTGCCCAATTTATCAGCATCCCACCAAGAATTCTCCCGAATCTTCAGATGGCCACTCCAGGCCTGTACATATTTATTATATTATATAATACAGTATTTACATTTGCAGCTGTTCTAGTGGTTGCGTGCCGTTTTCTTTTTCATTTTGCTGCTTTTCTAAAGTTTTTTTATTTTTGAGTAATAGTATCCTTTTCATCTCAGTAGATTTTAGAGTTATTTAAATTATCTTACAGTTTTCTTTTTTCTCCTATTTGTTCCTACAGATGAAAACTGTAAGTGTGGCTCTAGTTTTATGTCTCAATGTTGGCGTGGACCCCCCTGATGTAGTCAAGACTTCACCCTGTGCCAGACTAGAGTGCTGGATAGGTGAGTTTGCCCTAATATCCACCAAATAACCATACAATGGTTTCCCCCTCGATTGTAACTCTGTTCCACCATTACCTCTTTTCTGACGCCCCTGTGTGTAATAAAGAAGGACATTACTTTGTACATGTGTCTGAAAAAAATTGAGAAATAAGCAATATGTTGAAGGCATGTCAATTAATAAATGTTTACAACGCAGTGTGCAGTTTGATTTAATAAACATTGTTTTTTGGCCCTTTTCTTTTATGAATTCAGCTATAAACCAATTTAATGAACACTTTCCTCAGAGAAAACTCATTCAACATCTTTTTTTGTGTATTTGAGTAGTTATGATGTGTGTGCAGTGCAGAAATATGTTTCATAATCCATACAGAATTGATTCTTAAGTTTCAGCTTCCAACTTAAGCACTTTCCCATTTTCTGTATTTCACTTGTTTCAGACAGGTTTTATTCTGGGATGACTTTTGTACTTCTATAAGACTCCTTTGATAAAATGTATATCATCTGGCATTCTTCTGCATAATAGTGTAATAGTTAAACTAATACACTATTATGCAGAAGAATGCCAGATGAGTATAGCATATAAAAGTGCCTGAATTTACAGTAATACTATAATGTGTGTTTTCTCTTTTTATCTTCTAGACCCTCTGTCTATGAGTCCACAGAAAGCCCTGGAGACGATAGGGGCCAACCTGCAGAAACAGTATGAGAACTGGCAGCCCAGGGTAAGAGCGGTCCACGTTGCTGTTACCTCATATAACAGTATGTTTCTCAATATGCGTTATTGTCTCTACTTGTGTTCTTGTGGACTTGTGAAATGTCATCAGTCGCAGCAACCAAGATCTGTTCAAATTCAAAGTTCACATCTAGCAAAGTTACAAAATCCCCGGATGTGCTCTTGATCCACCCCTTTTATCGAGGATGCATCGAGAGGTGACTTGTGCGGATTTGAGACAGCCAGGTATCCCATCATGACAGAACTGTTCCCTTTCGAGAGGTTCCTCCTATTGCGTAATAGCTTACGCTATGGAAAACTCCTTTTCTCGAGAAATATTGATGTCTTTTATGTAAAACGCATTGCAGCTGCACAGCATACAGCAATGAGCGAGGCAGCTCGGTCATTGGCTGTGCTGCGGCAACTGCACGAACCTATGACGGGGCGACTCTGAACCCGCTTCCAATGAGCGTGCTTCGCGCCCACGCGCGTCAGAGCCTGCCAAGATGGTCGTGGCCAAGGGCTATATATTGGGCGCCCCGTCATCTGAGTTCTTTAGATTTAATCTCCTTCAGCAAAGACCTTCTCTTCGCTGGATCCTCCGGATTTCTTGGAGTCTTTTCGCCGCCGCCGTCGACAAGCCTACAGCAGGACTGCTTCGAGGACGCCGGCGCCTTCAGCCGCCTTCGATCGCCTTCTGCTAAGCCATCCGGCGCGCAACACCTTTATATCCTTTTCAAAGCTTACAGTGTTCGCCCCCGCGACACTTTTTCTAAAAGAGCAAATTCAAGGCGTTGTTTCAAATGCCTTCCTGCGCCTCGTGTCGAGGCCCTCTTCAGGACAGGGATCGTCACATCATTTGCACCCGCTGCTTGGGACCGGACCACGCAGAGGCTGCCCTTACTCGAGGCGGATGTCCCGAGTGTGACGCCCTGGGCCTCACCGAGCTGCGCGCTCGCTTCGCCGTTTTCACTGCGAAAGAGCCCACTTCCTCCGTGCTGCCATCCCCTCTGGTCGAGCCGCGCAAGAAGAAGCGCCGCTCACAGAGGCCGCCAGAGCACGCGGTTTGCAGTGATGCCACGCCGGGCCAATCCCCGCGTGCTTCACCACCACCCGAAGACTCCACGCCGCCAGTCCAGTTCACACAGGCGGACCAGCACCCCTCCAGTGGAGCGATGGGTCTCGTCTCGTTTGGCGCGTCAGGGGATGACGATGACAAGGATGACAGCCTTTCCTGTGATGCTGCATCCGACGACTGGCCGGGCTCGTCCTTCGACCCCGCGCCATCGACATTGGCGGGCACGAGCGTGGGGTCCAGCATGGACTCGGAGATCGTCCGCATCCTATCTAAGGCCGTGGAAGACCTCGGGCTCGATTGGTCTTCCCTGGAAGAACCCGCCCGCAGCCGACTGGACGAGTGGTTCCTGCAGGGGCGCTGACAGGCCCCTCGGCAAAGGCCCTCCCCTTTCTTCCCGGAAGTTCACGACGAACTCACGAAGTCGTGGAAAGCCCCGCACTCCGCTCGCCTGAAGCCTTCTTTTTCTTTGTCGCTCTCCTCTGTGGACGGCGCGAAAGAAAGAGGCTATGAGGGGACTCCGCCCCTCGAGGAGGCTGTGGCCAATCATCTGTGTCCACCCTCCAACGCTGGATGGAAAGCTAAAGCTTCTCATCCCTCGAAGCCTTGCCGGTCTACTTCAGCTCTCGCCGGTCTACTTCAGCTCTCGCCGGTCGCGCATACGCCGCCGCCGGCCAAGCTGCATCAGCGCTTCACTCTATGGCTGTCCTCCAGGTGTTTCAAGCTAAACTGCTCCGCAGTATGGACGAGTCTGGACCTGATCCTGAGGCATTCAAGGACCTGCGCAGCGCCACCGACATAGCACTGCGAGCTACAAAAGCAACCGCCCAATCCATCGGCCGTGCTATGGCTAACCTAACTGTCCTTGAGCGCCATCTGTGGCTGACGCTAACGGAGATGAAGGATGCAGATAAGGCGTCATTTCTCGACGCGCCTATCTCCCAAAGCGGCCTGTTTGGACCAGCGGTGAAGGAGTTCGCCGAGCGCTTCACCGAAGCCCATAAGGATTCGCAGGCTATGCGTCACTTCCTGCCCAAGCGATCTAGCTCATCGCAGAGCCGCCAAAGGCCGCCTCAGCAGCAGCGAGCTAAGACGGCGCCTCCTGAAACTAATTTTCGACGCCGCTCGCGCTCTGCCAACAGGAGACAACCGCCCGAGCGACGGGGACCTCGGCCCAAGATTGTGCTGAACCCAGAGCCTCGTAAGTCCTCCTAGCTACAGGGAGAAAAAGGGAGAGCGCGTGTCTCGCAAAAGCCGGACCGTTCTCTCCAAAACGTTTAAAACATTACCCAGTCCCCTTACAGGCGGCTGGAAATGTCTGTACAGCAGCCAATGTGCCAGCCACACAGCTCGCTCACCTGCAAACAAACGCCGTTTTTACGGCGACACACAGAAATCACATAAAGAGCCATTTTCTGCCTGTGTCATTAAAGGGTCACGTGTCCACACCAAAGTGCGCATTCCCACATATCAAAACTGTCAAAGCAGTGCCAAATGTTTTCCCAGCTCAGGCTGGACGCCCCATAAATGTAGATTGTGTGCCAACTGTCACGTATGCACCACTACACATAAGCACTGTTCCCACAGTTATAAACACTTCCCCAGTAAAAGCGGGAAGTTCTATAAGAGTAGCGCGTGTGCCCGCTGTTATGCACGCACCCCAACTCACAAACTCTGTTTATATGGCCAAAAACCTCCCGCCACGAGCGGGAATTTTTATGAAAGTGGCGCGCGTGCCTACCACAGTCTATGCACCCCCACCCATAAGCACTGTCCATACAGTGTTAAACATTTCCCCATCTCACACTGTGAGCATTACGGCGAGCGTGCCTGTAATCTCACACGCACCCCTGCACTCGGCATTCAACAAAGCTGCTCAGCCCGCGCCTCTGAGAGCTGTAAGCTCGGTATTAGCACAGGGCGATTTGCTGGCGGGAGCCATACGTCACCGCGACACGCCCCCAGCGTGCATTCAGCCCATATCTGTGCGAGCGAAAGCTTGGGAAAATATCCCCGGCATGCCGAAATGGGTTTTGAACATAATAAAACACGGTTACTCGCTTCAATTCGCTCGCAGACTGCCCCGCTTCACAGCAGTGGTCGAGACGAAAGTGAGAAAAGATGTTTCACATGTTCTACGCACCGAGATGCTCAAACTGATAGAGAAAGGCGCTATAGAAACAGTCCCTCCCTCTATGAGCGAGGCAGGTTTTTACAGTCGCTATTTTCTCGTCCCGAAAAAGGATGGTGGTCTCCGCCCCATTCTAGATCTCAGACATCTGAACAAAGCTTTAATGATTCGCTCGTTCAGAATGTTAACAACCAAGCATATCCTGGCGCAAGTTCGCCCGGGGGATTGGTTTCTATCAGTGGATCTGAAAGACGCTTACTTTCACATTCCAATAGCGCCTCATCACAGGCCTTTTCTGAGATTCGCTTTCGAGGGACAGTCATACCAGTACACACAGTACTACCATTCGGCCTGTCACTGGCACCCCATACATTTACGAAATGTATGGATGCAGCACTTTCCCCCCTGAGGCAGCGGGGAGTGCGAATACTAAATTATCTCGACGATTGGCTAGTCCTAGCACAATCAGAGAGCCAGTTAGTGACACACAGGTCTTGGATTATCAGTCATCTAGATTGCCTGGGTCTAAGAATCAATTTTGCAAAGAGCATGCTATCCCCCAGCCAGAATATTTCTTTTCTGGGAATAGTGCTAGACTCAGTGCAGATGACGGCGCGCCTCTCATCAGAGCGCGCGCTCACTATCCGGCGCCTTGCAACATCGTTCAGAGCGGGTGCGCGCGCCCCCGTCAAGCGATTTCAAAGGATGCTCGGTCTCATGGCCTCGGCATCAGCTGTACTCCAGCTAGGATTTTTGCACATGCGTCCTCTCCAACGCTGGCTCAAAAGCCGTGTCCCCACTCACGCGTGGCGCTCGGGCCACTTTTTAATCAGAGCAAATCATGGCTGCATAAAAGCCCTGACGCCCTGGAAAGCTGTCGACTGGTATCAGTCCGGCGTGAGTTTGGGCGTGAACACAAGGAGGAAAATGATCACGACAGATGCCTCCAAAATAGGTTGGGGGGCCCTTTACGAGGGCAGGCCTGTCTCCGGCTTGTGGTCAAACCCGGAAAAGCGCCTACATATAAACTGTCTGGAATTGAAAGCGGTCGCTTTGGCTCTCAGAGCCCTGCTCCCGTACCTGAAGGACGAGCACGTCCTAGTCCGAACGGACAACATGACGGTAGTCTCGCATATAAATCGTCAGGGTGGACTCAGATCGAGCTCCCTGCACTCGATGGCCAGGGGGCTCCTCCTATGGTCCCAGCGCAACCTGCGCTCGCTGAGAGCAGCGCATGTGCCAGGTGTTCTGAACCAGGGAGCGGACATGCTGTCCAGAGACAAAGTTCTCCCAGGAGAATGGTCTCTCCACCCCCTGACGATTCAGTGGTTATGGCAAACCTTTGGCAGAGCAGAGGTCGACCTCTTTGCCGAAAGAGGTCGGCAAAGTTGCCGACCTCTTGAGCTGAGTTGAGCAAAGTTGCCGAACCAGAGCTTGCCAAATCTGGCCGAGCCGCCCGCTGTATGCCTTCCCTCCGGTCGCGATGCTACCTCAGGTCATCAGTCGGATCAGGGAGAAGAAATGTGCAGTGCTCCTGGTAGCCCCACTCTGGAAGAACCAGACGTGGTTTCCAGAACTGATGCAGATGATGCAATCTGCCCCATGGCCGATTCCGCTGAGGCTGGACCTCCTCAGGAAGGCCAACCATCCTCCATCCCCGCCCCGATCTGTGGGCCCTCCATGCGTGGCCCCTCAATGGGTTCCCGGGAACCTCCCCAGTGGAGTGTTGAGAACCATCACTGAGGCGCGAGCGCCCTCTACGAGGCGCTTATATGCCCAGAAATGGAAGGTGTTCAGTGACTGG